ATGATATATTCCCCTTTCACTGTTCTTTACTTTGGTTTTTTTTTTTTTTGAGACGAGTCTCGCTTTGTTGTCCAGGCTAGAGTGAGTGCCGTGGCGTCAGGCTAGCTCACAGCACTCAAACTCCTGGGTCGAGCGATCCTTCTGCCTCAGCCTCCGAGTAGCTGGACTACAGGCATGCGCCACATGCCCGGCTAATTTTTTATATAATACAGTTGGCCATTAATTTCTTTCTATTAAATCTCTTATTCATATCTCCCAGAAAGATACATAAAAAGATCTAATAAAAGTGATTATTTATAGGAGCTAGAGATCACAGATGAGGCAGGTCTGAGAGGAATCAAGGTGTTTTTCGTTTTTTTTTTAAAAGAGAGGTGGGGGTCTCACTATGTTGCCCAAGCTAGAGTGCTGTGGCTATTCGCAGGCACAATCAGAGCACACTACAGCCTCAAACTCCTGGATTCAAATGATCTATCTCCTGAGTAGCTGGGACCATAGGGGTGTGCCATCATGCTCGGCTTGAAGTGAGGTTCTTAATGTGTATCTTTTATAGATGAATGAATGCATTATGTATATTTATTTATAAGTGAATATATTAATTAAACATTTGTAAAAAAAGACCAGAGATAAAAATTTTTATTTTCTCTACCTTGGATTTAGTGGCTTTATAGAATCTACTTATGAAACTATATAAACCTAGTATTAGAGTAATGACTTCAAGTACTAGCAGGGAAAAAAGAGTAAGACATTATCCAGAAATGGTCTTCCAACAATTACTTTCAACGTCTTTCTCCACAGAATTATTGGCAGAATTAGATAAGGACATTATGCAGATACTGTTATTTGTCTCGCCAACTAGAATGTGAACCCCAGAGGGCTAGGGGCTTTGTTCTGTTCTGCTATATCCCCAGTACTTAGATCTATCTCTGTTACACAGTAGTGCTCAATAAATATTTGCTCAATGACAGAATGAATGCATAAAAACCATTTCTGAGGCTACTGACCATACAGGGCACAATAAAAACCAAGGCCCATGGACATATTTTTCTTAAAGCAAAACTTGAAAAATTGAGAATAGTTTTATTCTACACATACCAGAAAAAAACATATTTTTATTTCATATTAAAGAGGAGGAGGTGGACACATATCCACACTATAAATGTGCAAGTAACAGGAGAGAGTAGTAGAATGGAAAAAAAATAGTGGGCTCTATTTCTTGCTATGGCAACTTTTAGTTATGTGAATTTGGTCAAGTCACCTGAATTCTTGGTCCTCAGTTTCCAAACCTATAAAATGATGGAAATGTATGGCTGACGTTTCCATTCTAGCTCTATTATCTTTGGCATGCGCGCGCACGCGCGCGCACACACACACAGAAGAAGATACATAAACAAATGGAGAGGAGAGAGAGAAGTACACGAAGGAAGAAAGAAAAAGGAAGGTGAAGGTTCTAGAGGGAAATGAAGGTGCCAGCACATGAAAACTCAGGGAAGATACACATGTACCACCTTCCCACAACCAACTGGGGATAAAGAGGGAGGTGATGACAACCACAGACCATCCCATACAGACAGCTGCAGAGTGCCAAATAATGGAGAGAGGAGACAGGCTTCATTTCCACAGCTTCTAAGGTGATCATTAGTAAATTGCCTTTCATACTCGACTGTTCACTTCGGCTATGTGATGACAGTAAATCAACAAGGGTCTCAGCAAACCTAAGATTACTTTAAATGACCACTAACAACTCTCCATATACTCTAACCCAGTGGTTCTTAGTCAGGGTTGCACATTAGAATCACTTGGGGGAGGTTTTTCAAACTATCTACGCTCAGATCCTACTGATAAGAGATCCTGAGTTAGGCCTGGGGTGAGATCCAGTCAACCATATTTTGGAAGAAGCCTTGTATGTGATATTGGTCTGTACCCCTAAATAGAAGTAGTAGAAGACTACTCTCTAACCCCTAAATTTTGTTCTGAATGGAATAGCTACTTATTGTGGGATATGGTTGTTCTTTTGAACTATAATCTTGGTAGCCAGAAAATCACTACCTTACAGACACAGAAACTATAGTAAGATCCTAGTCTTCCCTTTCTAACAAGCTGAGAAATAGTCCAAGTCAGAAGGCAGTAATAATCAGGCTCAATAACCAATTTCTGAATAGATCTAGATTTCACTTGGATGCTAGAAGTGAGTGTTACATATACCTGTCTGGATCCCTGGGGGCCAACTGCCCCCATGTTAATTGGACTGGGACCCTGGATTCCACTAGGTATAGGTCCTCTAGGGCCAGGCACTGGGCCCCTGGTATCCATGCCTCTGGCTTCCATTGCACGGGCCTCCATTGCTCGGGCCTCCATTGCACGAGCTTCCATCGCCCTGGCCTCCATCGCACGGGCCTCCAATCCTCTGGCATCTAATCCTCTTGCCTCCATGGCTCGGGCCTCCATCCCTCGCGCATCTATTCCTCGGGGATCTCTTCCACCTATAAAGAAAGTGGTAAAAAAAACTCACTTGTACTGTAAGAAGAACCAACAATCCAAGAAAGACAGAAATCTATTGCTCTAGTCACATCTCCCCTCAACTATACGAGACTATCGTCTCTTCTCCATTTTCTCAGATTTGCAGATAAACCTTAAAAATTCTTGTCAACCTTATTGCTCTAGTATTCTTTATCCCAGATTAGGGCCTAAGATAGCTGGGTTCACCATTAGCCCACAACTTCCAGTTAGCCGTGGGATGTGGTCTCCCCTTACCTCTGCCATCCAAGGGTGGACCCCTCTGATCTAGCATGGGTCCTCTTGGTTCTGCCATTAGAGGTCTGGGCTCGGCTAATGGACCACCCCTCATTTCATGTGGGGGTGGTCCACGGTTCTCATGGCCAGGAACATGGTGCATGGGTGGACCCTGATGAGGTGGTCCCAGGTAACCTCTAAAGGTGGAGAAAAATGTTATATTTTAAAAAAGAAAAAAACAACCAAAAAGTGTCAACCAGAAGATCAGTAAGTAAACATCCAACAAAGAACTGAAGCAAACATCAGTCTACGTATGCTAACAAGAGAGTAACACCAAACACACTGAAGAAATGCTATGGAGATATAAATCCACATATTCTAGAATGTCATATTTGGAACACTCATAATTAGGGAAGAATCAATAGATATTCGTTATATGTATAATGAGCATGCAGTACAGTGCTTAAGAACATAGGTTGACTACAACCTCTTGCAAAGGAAAAACAAAAATAAATAATACAAAGAATAAAGAAGAACATAAATTTTAAAAATTAAAAAAAAAGAACATGGGTTCTGGTTTCTGACTGTATGGGTTCAAATGTAGGATCTATCGCTTATTAGCTGTGTGATCTTGGGCACATTTACTTAACTTCTTGATGTAAAAAGTGACTAATAATGGTACCCATCTAACCCAGTTGTTGTGCGGATTTCAGATGATCTAAGTATAGCATTCAGAGCAGAGTCAGAGGCATGAGCCTCATTAATGTCAACTGTTATTATTGCTACTATTAATATTACTACTGTCACAAGTTTTCCCTGTTGAGATATTTATACTAGAATTTCCAATTTCTGAAAACACAGTATCTCAAGATGACATACTCAACTACATAGTTTTGCCTTAGGAGAAGTGCTTAGTCTTGGACAGTGGCCATGAATATTTATTTATATATCTTGAAGTAGGCAAGCAGGTACAATTGGTACAGAAAGACTCTGTTGTCAAAAGAAGGAAAATCTGGATTTCTCAGACTGTTTCCTTCTATGTTAGTGCTTACCTAGGCTCTACCTCTCCAGTTACAGAAAGTAAAGTGCCTCCCCGTGGGTCATTCGGAGCATCTCCTAACAGACCTCGAGGAGTTGGGACGTTGGCAGGCAAGGATCCCCGCTGCATAGCTGCTCTGGGATCTTGCATCGGCACTGACAGGGAAACAAACGGGGAGTTACTGCTGTGAAGGACACATAAGGAAACAAGAAATGGCTCTATATACCACTGACAATATAATTAAGACACCTTAGAGTGGGTGAAACCTCACCACAGCAGAATCCTCTTGCAGCTCAAGAACAGAAGCAGGGTGTAGGCAGAATCTGTGCCATGTCAGAGGTATGGATGGAATTACATAAAGAGCAAACTGGGGAGCAACCTGCCAAGGACTAGCACTGCGACCTGAAGAAACTTATGCTCCTGGTTTTCCTTCTAATCAATCTTAGTTCAAGGACCAGAGTCACAAAAGAGAGGTGGGGTCTTGGCATATGTGAACACTGCCATGGCTCTGCAAGAACCTGCTGTCTCCTTACAGACTGCTATTCCATCCAAGCCTCCTGACACCAGTAGGGAGGGAGTACAGCCTCGGACAGATGCCCATATCATCCATGTTCTCTGCCCTGTGTGAAGAGGTCAATCTTAGGCTTGTGGCCTCAACAGGAAAAAAATTAAAAAAACAAAAACCCCAAAACACTACCCTTTTGGGTTCCGAACGTGAGGATGACTGCCAAGCAGCTCGTTTCCTCTCAACGTCCCACCCTGAGCACCACAAGCAAAAGGAAACCCGCAGATACAATGGGTACCTTGAACTCGCTCAATTGATGCAGGCCCGGCGGGTCCCACGGGCGAGTGCTGTAGGGTTCCTAGGTGAGCAATAAGTTCAAAAGGAGAAAGAGCAGACACTTAAAATAGCTTGCACATACACACAGAAACACATACATACGGAGACTGGAGATTTACACATATAAGTTAAAAAGCCAAGAGTTCATCAGCTTGCCTCAGGTTACAAAACCTCCCTAAACTATACTAGCTCCTTTGGGTATCTGAAACAGTTCCACTTTGACCAGATAGCTTCCTAAAGAGAAACCTGTGGGGCACTGGTTTTATCTGGGCAGGAATAACCAACCATTTTCGGTTTTCACCTCTGCCACTACGTTTTCCCTTAGGTCTCCTTATGATACTATTAAAATAAAACAGAGACAAACTATAAAAATAATTTTGAGTCTGTAGTTAAGAACATAAACGTAGTTTCAGAAACAAAACACGAAAGAAACCACACTGAATCTGGAAGGCAAGGTTTATTCTGGAGAGGCTGTTACAGACGTGGGGCGGTACTATTTTTGTCGTATTTTAGAGCACAAAGATTTCTACTATTAAAGTATCATATGGGGAAATTCAGTGAATGAACTTTAGATGAAGAAGGAGACTATCACTCCACAAGAAATACTCTGCCACAGCAAGTCTTTGATAATAAACATCACGACAACAGCAAACAAAGACTAATGAAATGACATGGGCACCAACAATAAACAAAGGTGGTAGAAAAGCAAGTAATACCTTCTAAAACACTTCACTGCCTTCTTTCACCATTATAAATGTGCAAAAGTAGTAAATTCCAGGAAAGTAAGACAAACTGGGTATAAATGAAAAAGATTCTTGCTTCCTCTGCTGGGTACTGAAGGAAACTATAAAATAAAACTCATCTTACTTTGTCTGTTTATGATGACATCCTTAAAATAACCTCAAAACATGACTCATTTCCCTTCATCAATTTTTGACCAGAAAGGTAAAGATAATAGCAAGAACGAAGATGTCTCATGGAAGTATGTGTTAAACAGCTAAAACTTGATTGATTGCTGGGCCCTTGAAAGGCAGAAGTATGACCAAAATCCTAATTCCTTCTTACTACTGCAAAAATACTTTGGGGGTACACACACAGTCTATTGACAGCAGTGGGGTCAGAGTAGGGGATGTACAACAGCACACAAGTATGGGATGCTTAAAGAAAAGATGAGGTATCAGGCCAGGAGTTGGTCTTGCTGTCAGACATCTAACAAGAAAAAATTATTAGTTCTGTCTCTTTAGCAAACAACCCCAGTGTACCTTTAATATTTTGCTTTTTAAATGAGTGTCACTTATAGGCCATATGCTAAGAAGAAAAAACTTAAGCTTCTCTATGTTTGTCCAAAGCAGTCTTTTCCCATCACAGAGACCCAGTGAGTAAGAGTATAAGACACTGAATAGTATTTTTGGAAGTTAACAGGGACAGTGTGGAGTGACAGAAAGAGAATAGATTATAGAGTCAGAGACTTCTGAATTTTAGCTCTGCCACTTATTAGTTAGAAGAGAGGATGAGAGCATCAAATCCAGTCCATATTACTCAGACATTAGTATTTACTTACCTTGTTCCCTTGAGTAAGTAAATTAAAACTCTAAGCTTTCATCTCTTTGCCTATAAAACTGAGGTGTTGCCATCTAACTCACAAGGAAGTTTATGAATATTAAAGTGCCTGGCACATAGCACACACTCAGTTCCTTCTCTTTTCTCATCCTCTAACTCTTTTCTCATCCTCCTAACATTGTTTCCAACTGAACCACTGCATTTTCTTTTCCTTCAAACTCCAGTAATGTGGAGAATTAATGTGGAGATTTGGAGTGGTGGCTGCTGTTATATACAGCATTATTGCCACAGCACAACAGATACTTATCAAGTAGGCTCTATAAACCTATGATGCCCTCTTAGTTTTCTCTGGGGTTTAAATCTAGTCTTCTGTATATTCAGCCACATATTTACATGCTCATCACTGAAACTCCTTACTCAGCCAACAGATTTCCACAGAGGGAGACAGAACATGTCAGCGCAATCATTAAGCCATCAGGAAACAAAGGATCTACTTGCTCCATCATCAATTCTTGTAGAACTCTGAAACACTAGGTGGAAAGTCTAGACCAGCACTGTACAACAGAACTTTCTGTGATGATAGCAACGTTCTATATCTGCAATGTCCTATATGGTATCCTCTAGTCACATGTGGCTATACAGCGCTAGGAATGTGGCTAATGTGACTGAGGAAATGAGTTCTAAATAATTTTGATTTAATTTTAATTCACTTAATATTTAAATAGCTACCAGTGGTTTAGTAGCTGCCATATTAGATAGTGCAGATATGGAACATTTCCAAGGTCAGCCCATGTTAATCAGACATTAATATTTATTTACCTTGTCCTCGTTCCATGGGCACCGGTCCACCTCCTGGCATTCCAACCGGGGTCTGCATTCCTCCTAGAAGATAAAGGGCAGAAAAGAAAAAATACAAATTAGGATAATGGAAGAAAAATTAGAATAGTGACTAAGTTTACAAACTTCCTCATTCTGCCCCACAAGCAGAAATCTACAAAGGAAGATAACAACTATTCAACAATGCAATTAGACAGAAGATGGGGTTTGTTAGTATAATTTATGATTTAGTGACAGAAAAGGGAGTTGAATAAGAATACATCATCTCACTGGTTACCAAAACCTTGGCAGGAAGCTCTTTCGTAATACAGGAAAACAACGTCACTTACTCACAAACCTCCTCTCATAGGAGGCAGTACTGTTCCTGGGGTATTTTGTAAATGTGTGGGTATACTGTTTTGGTTGTGACAAAGATTTGTGGGAGGATGGCTCGCATTGAATGAGAAGGTGCTAGATATCTTGCAATGCATGAGGCAGTCCCACAAAATCAAGAATCACCTAGTTTCTTGTAAAACTTTTAAATACCTCACTGAACATAGACACAAATGAAAATCTGCTTGTAGTCATCTGAACTTAGACCTAAAGTTGGTTTTATTTATAAACACAAAGGTTCTCTGCACTGTTTTTAAATACATATACACTGAATATTCCAGAAATGCAATCACTGAGAATATTAGGGATACTGCAATTTAAGAATTTTACCATGAGATTTCACCATTTCAGAAAATAACATCATCAGTGCCAACTGTCCTTATGATATTTGAGTTGCCAAAACAATATGCCTGTATCTGTCTAAAGTTTTCTTTAGTAGAGATAGGGTCTTGCTATGTTGCCCAGGCTGGTCTCAAACTCCTGTCCTTAAACAATCCTCCTGCCTTGGTCTCCCCAAAGTACTGTTATAGGTGTGAGCCACTGTGCTCAGCCTGTATACATTTTTAGCTTTTACCTTCAGGGTATGGGTGCAAGCACCTGACTCCTACATTTTGTTTTTTAGTGTAGCTGTGCCCGAACACTTGCATATTAGAAATTCTTTTTATTATCAATTAATGCCCTTTTACTTCTCCTCTATGTTATAGTTAGTGCAATATACTGATTTTTTTGAAATCATGTTACATATGTTACAGTATCTGTGTATTTCATTTCAGGATAGCAGAGTCACTGCAAAATATATGTTATGGAAAAGGAACACTGGGTCTAATAGGGTTGAGAACCACTGGTCTACCTTAACCAGTCGGGGCATGATGACTGCTTTATAAAGAATAATCATGCACCACAAGTCCTTGTCTGGTCCTTTCCATATAGCAATACTTCTCTTTTCCTCAAAGGAGTAATATATGCTAAGAGTGGGGAGAAAAGATCAGCTGATCTATTAAATATTTGCAGTTCATTAATACTTCCCTAAAATAGCAAGTATATAGCACATCTCCCTAGTCCATTTAACATGCCAAGCACCAAAGAGCTATGGATTAAGAACCCAAAGAACTGGGTGCTAGTCCTGCTTTTGCCACTAAATAATTGTGATTTTGAACAAGTGACTTAATAAAATTAATACATTCCCAGGCTTCCTCAGTTATTAAGTGAGAAAGTTGGTCTATACCAGTGGTTCCCAGAATGTGGTCCCCAGACAAGCAACAATGGTACCATCAGGGAATTTGTTAGAACTGCAAATTCTTGGGGCCCTACCTCACACCTACTGAATTAGTCTGAGGGTGGGGACTAGCTATCTGCATTTTGTAAGTTCTTCAGGTGTTTTAACATAAAGTTTGTAAACCACTGGTCTAAATGATTTCAAAGCTATCTTCTTTCATTCTATCCCAACAAATCACCAAAACAATATAAAAATTTAGGACCTGAGGAATGGAATGGCAGAAGCTATTATGGGCATAATTTCTCATTATACATCATCAACATAACAGTGCTTTTATTTTTTATTTTATTTTTTGAGACAGAGTCTCACTCTGTTGCCTAGGCTAGAGTGCCGTGGCATCAGCCTAGCTCACAGCAACCTCAAACTCCTGGGCTCAAGCAATCCTTCTGGCTTAGCCTCCCGAGTAGCTGGGACTACAGATATGTGCCACCACACCCGGCTAATTTTTTCTATATATTTTTAGTTGACCAATTAATTTCTTTCTATTTTCAATAGAGACGAGGTCTCACTCTTACTCAGGCTGGTCTTGAACTCCTGACCTGAGAGACCCACCTGCCTCGGCCTCCCAGGGTGCTAGGATTACAGGCATGAGACACTGCGCCTGGCGAACAGTGCTTTTATTTGTATGCGCTAGATTCCCAGAAGTGGAACTGGTGGGTCAAAATGCATGAATTTTTAATGTTAGACTACTTTCTTAAAAGGTTGAAAAACTTCACATTTTTCAATGTATAAGTACCGTTTTTCCCAGCAATATTAAGCATCATCTCTCTTTGAAATTTCTGCTAGTCTGATGGGTTTAAGTAAAATCCTGTTGTTAATTTATAATCCCCTAACTGTATATGAATTTGTTTTTCTTGGTCATTTGGATTCATTCTTTTATGAAGTGCCTACTCATTTTCTTTGCTAACTTTTCTACCAGGTTATTTGACCCCTTCTCATCCCTGTCAAAGAGCTTTGAACAGAATCTCTCTCTCTCTCTCTCTCTCTCTCTCTCTCTCTTTTTTTAAGGCAGAGTCTTGCCCTGTCATTCTGGCTACAGTGCAATGGTGTCATCATAGCTCACTGTAACCTCAAACTCCTGGGGTCCCGTGATCCTCCCGACTCAGTTCTCCTGAGAAGCTGGGACTACAGCCGCACGCGCCACCATGGCTGGCTAATTTTTCTATTTTCAGTAGAGACAGTGTCTCACTCTTGCTCAGGCTGGTCTTGAACTCCTGAGCTCAAGTGATCCTCCCCCGTTGGCCGCCCAGAGTGCTAGGACTACAGGCGTGAGCCACTGTGCCTGGCCTGAACAGGGTATCTCAAAAATCTTAGTGAAGTTTTAATTTTTTAAATATTTTTTTCAGAGATGGGGTCTCACTTTGTCACCTGGGCTGGTCTTGAACTTCTGGCTTCAAGTAATCCTTCTGCCTTGGCCTCCCAAAGTGCTAAGATAACAGGTGTGAGTCACTGCGCCTAGCAGTTTTAATAACTTCAGAAAAATAAATGCTACAAACTCACAAAAAATATCACCTGAAAGTTTAATTATTTAAATTTCTTTTATACTTACTTTCTACTTTTATCTTTATTAACTCCCTCTTGGTATCTTCTGGTTTATTAGTTTTATAATTCCTTACAATGAGTACTTAGAATTCATTTATTTTTCTAATATAGGCATTTAAGGTTATTCATTTTCCTTTAAGCACTGCATTCACTATTTCCCGTGCTATTCTGAAGTATACATACTGTCTTTAGATAATTTATAATTTCTTTTTATTTTTTCTTTAATTCAAAGATTACCTACAGTATGTTCCTTAATTTTCCAAGTTTTTTTTCAGTCACCTTTTAATTACATCTAATTTTATTAGCTTACAATAAAAGAATATGGTCTGTAAAATATCCACTTTTTTGAATTTGTTAAAGCTTTATTTTATGGCTAAGTACTATACATGGTCTTTTTTAAAAAACTATTTCAGGGTAGGCTGGACGTGGTGGCTCACACCTTTTATCCTAGCACTCTGGGAGGCCGAGGCGGGTGGATCACTCAAGGTCAGGAGTTCGAAACCAGCCTGAGCAAGAGCGAGACCCCATCTCTACTAAAAATAGAAAGAAATTAATTGGTCAACTAAAAATATATAGAAAAAATTAGCCAGGCATGGTGGCACGTGCCTGTAGTCCTAGCTACTCGGGAGGCTTGAGCCCAGGAGTTTTGAGGTTGCTGTGAGCTAGGCTGATGCCATGCACTCTATCCGGCAACAGAGTGAGACTGTTAACTCAAACAACAAACAAAACCCAAACTGTTCCAGGGTCATTAGAGGGGTGAGGAGTATATTCTTAGTCAAAGATATAAGGCTGCCTCTATATAGTTAATGAAGCTTATTGATTCTATTATTTAATTTGTGTTATTTTTTTGTCCACAAGCATAATGCTACGCAAAGTATAGTCCACAGAGTACTGATCTACAACTGTAAGTTACTAGTTAACAAGATAAGTATAGAATGGAGAGGAGAAATTTAGAAACTTTTACAGAATTTGATATTGCCGTGACATCTAAACGTATGATCAGTGTACTTGTCTCATTGAACAGGGTACAGAGAAGTCTGAGTGTTTTCAATTCATTTAATGAGCACGTCATGGTTGCATATTTGTCATATGCAGTAGGATCACATTACGACTTGTGATATTTTAAGGTAAGTTAGGCATTATAACTCAAAAATTTTTAAAGTACAGATCCATTTCTTTACTGAAAGGTAACTTTAAGTCTACTAGGATAAAGTGGATAAATAAAAATGCTGAGTTTGCTGAAATATCTCTAAAAATCTGTTTTTCCAGTCCTCATCAACTTAGATCTCTAGACTGATTTCTCTACAAAACAGAACAATACAGATCTAAATTATTCCCCATTAGTATTGTGGTCAGTCTAACCTAGATTAGATAAATTAACAAGTCTGTTGCATAAAAAACTTTAAATATTGATAATATATTATGCATTCAGACAGGTGTTGCATATAGGGAATTGCTATGTCACTCAACTTTTTTTAGTTACAATTGTTAAATGATGAAAAGTTACAAGTGTATAGCAATACTCTATTAATTGCCCATCTATATACTTTCAATGAATGTGTATAGTTTTTAAATTTCTCTTTTTTCCTTTGTTGTTTGGTCTGATATATTTGTTGAAATACAATTTTACGTCTGTTTAACATAATAAAAAATGTGATCATGTATTTTGTATCTGTTTTCTTCATGACCTTTTTTTTTTTTTTTTTTTGGAGACAGAGTCTCACTTTGTTGCCCAGGCTAGAGTGCCATGGCATCAGGCTAGCTCACAGCAACCTCAAACTCCTGGGCTCAAGCCATCCTCCTGCCTCAGCCTCCCGAGTAGCTGGGACTATAGACATGTGCCACCATGCCCGGCTAATTTTTCTCTATATATATTAGTTGGCCAATTAATTTGTTTCTATTTATAGTAAAGACAGGGTCTTGCTCTTGCTCAGGCTGGTTTCGAACTCCTGACCTTGAGCAATCCACCTGCCTCGGCCTCCCAGAGTGCTAGGATTACAGGCGTGAGCCACCTCGCCCGGCCTCTTCATGACCTTTTTAACCTAATCTAATAGTCTCTGGTTTATAATGGAACAATTTGGTCTACTCGTATTTAGCAGAAAAACAACTATACTAGTTTTTATTCCTTCATCTTATTCTGTTTATTACTTACTTTACATTATCCTTTCCTTTTCTCTATTTTTTGCTGGCTTGATTTAATTTCCATTCATTCCATTTTCTCACTTGTTAATTTGGAAGTTTTACTATGCTCTTCCACTTTATTGTCCCTTTCCCTGTTGTCATAATCAGACATATAAGATTTGTATATAAAAAATCAACTATTTCCTCCATCTAGAATATACACTTTCTAGTTGTGTATTAATTTTATATCAGGATCCCATTACCACATAATAATTTGGTTGCATTGTGACAGTTGCTATGACAAAACTTTAGAAAGTACTGAAGTGGTGGAGACTCTAAATGAAACTTACCTCCGGGAGCTAGGGAACCAGGCCCAGGTCCCGTGACAGCAGCTGGCATTTGCCCTGGTGCTGGAACTCCACCCTGCATAGAAGCTTGCATCAGAGGAGGTGCGCCATTGACGTGCATTCCACCCTGACCAAGAAAAAACCCAGAGTATATTCATGTTTCCGTGGAGACTCAATACACTAAGTCAATGACCTTACAGTCCTCTTCAAATTTGACAGCTCGAAATATTCTACATTATTTTTATATAGTATGCCTAATGTAGAATTAGATTTATCACACACTTTGAATTCCACAGAAGCAAGTTGCAATACACATCATGAGCCTGGTTATATGGAACACAGTCAAGATAGAACATATTCTAAATGTAGAGATTGACAAGTCTTATCTGTGTGGCAAGATGGCATGTAGCACCTATTCTTGTCTTCCTAACTGAGGCCTGGCAATAAGAGTTAAAAAAAAAAAAAGTATCTTAAACCCAAGAAGAGAAAGAGATTGGGGCAAAACAAAACAAAACAAACCCAAAAAACTGCTGGTAATCCATGTTTTTAAAATAAAAAAATTTTTAATTTAACCAATCTTGGATATAATCTTGGTTTGGGGGGAATGTGAATTTTTTTAATGCTACATAAGCTCCCTGAGGGAAAGGGAATGCTATCTTTTCATCTGTGTATTCCCCAGGAAACTGAGCAGTCCTTTGGAATAAAGAGCTCAATAAAGAATAAAAGCTAAATTATAAAAAAAATCACATATATACTTAAAAATACAAACAAAATGCTAGAACAGAAAACAGGAATCTGTATAGGAAGGTGGTTTTAAGGGAAAACAGGCTGAGTTCAGACAGAACCAGGTTAAGAACTAGATTTGCCACTTAAAATTATGTAATTTCTGGACCCACTAACTTCTCTGGGCCTTAGTTTATTTCCTTTCTCTCTCTGAAAAAGTATTTATTTATTTAGAGCAGAGGTTGACAAACCTCTGGCCCCATGGGCCAAATCTGGCTGTCTGGTATAAATAAAGTTTTATTGGAACACAACCACACACACTTGTTTATGTATTATCTATGGCTGATTTCATACTACTATGGCAGAGTTGTTGTGGCAGAGATACTATGGCCTGTGAAGCCAAAAATATCTACTAGCTGGTCAATTACAGAAAATGTTTGTCAGCTTCTGCCCTGTACCTTCATACAATCCATCCAAATTGTTTATTTTTGCCAATCTGATAGGTGACAAATGATAGCTTATTATAGTATCTGTTTATATTATCTCATTTTATTTATTAGTGACAGATAATTTATTATATTGTCTCATTTTGAGGTGGAATATTTTTTCATATTTATTTTATATTTCCCCTTTTGTGAACTGTTCATGTCTATTGCCCATTTTTCTATTGGGTTATTGGAAATTTTCTTACTCATTTATAGAGGGCCTTTTTTTATTTAGTATGAAGAACTGCAGATATACAAGTCATATATAGAAAATAAAAGAGCCACCCAGCTTAGGAAATAAATTAAATCTCTTGTATGGTCTTCCCCAATCGTATCTTGTACCCTAGTCTCCTTAGACAACCACTAAAAACTCTTATAGATTTTTAAAAATTTTATATGAATCATTACACATTGAATGTATTCTTCTGAAGCTCACTCAACATATTTTTGAGATTTATGCAGACACATATATCCAACATTTAGGGAATGCTTCCACATTCACTTAGTTTCACTTTTGTATGGTATTATGTTTTTGAGTTATTTGTGTTGCTACCATGTATCCCAGTTCATTTTAACTGCTGTATTGAATTATGTTTTTTGAAAGTCATTCATATTGATATGTATAGTTTATTTAACTGTTCTCAAGTATTCTGTTGGATAAATATACCACATTTTCTCCATTCTTCCATTGATGCACATTTAGGACATTGCCAATTTTTCACTATTATAATGTGGCAATAAACATTCTTGAACATGACTAAGGGCTCTTTTATTAATAAGTCTCTGGTCCATCATGTGTGTGGCAAATACTTTTTCCCCAATTTGTCATTTGTCTTTGATGTTTATTTCTTTTTCTCTACACAGAATTTTTTTAGTTTTCAAATGTATCAATTTTTTATGGCTTCAGGGCTTTGTATCATGTTTGGAAAGCGAGCTTTAATTTTTCATTGGTAAGAATGGAGATAATAAGAGTGCCAACCTCATACAATTGCTGTGAGGATTAAATGAAATAACGCATATGGAATAACAAAGTGCCAACCACAGTGCCAGGCATGCACGTACACACAAAGTTAGCTTATAAGAAAAGGGCATACAGGAAGGATTTCTTTGTTTTACAAACTTGGAATCAAATCTATTCAGATGCCATGTGCTCTGCAACCTGGAAATTGCTTTTATGCCTGGAAATTGAAATTATCATCTCTGGTTCCTGACCATTCTTCTTTCAATATATTCTCCTAAAAAGAAAATGACATTCTAAGACAGATAAAAAAAATGTTAAGGGATAAAGCCCTACCAAAGGCTGGGGCTGAGGGGCTTGAGGATTCTGCTGGTTCATGGGCACATTGGATCCTGAGCCAGGCCCAGCACCATGGACTGGCTGAGGGTTTCCTGCAATCAGCGTTGGGATATTTGTCTGGCGATGCAGAATTTTCTAAAAAGTGAAAAGACAAACCTATGAGCTGTCTGTTTAACCAAGCAATCAGGTAGTTCCTATCCCACTCAAGGTTTGCCCTATCATTTTGTAAAAGAACAAGAAGCACTCACCAAGGCAATCTCCGGATCCACAATTCTCATCACTACCTGTGCTTGCAGCAAAGCATAAGCCAACTGAGGGTTCTGAAGCAACATGTTCCGTGCTTCCTGAGGGCTATTCTGGACACAGAGCTGAGAAGATAAGCAGATTCATCATCAGGTTCAATACTTATTACCTAGAAATTGATAGTGATTTAGAGCCATTCCCATCTGAGAAATGTAATATTCAAGAGGTTCTTTATCATCAGTTTTTGCATATCACAAAAAATCTTCATCATGGCAGGCAAGAGAAAGAAGAAGCATTTCAAATATTGTAATACTATCTTTAGGAAAAAAGCCCCATTTTAATATCTACATCTGATATCTAAGGGCCACAAAAACCCAGTTGGATTATGTGAGTAGTTGTGTTCATGTACAAAAATAGAAAGTTCTTTGTATGAAATGTAAAATTCACTGTGTAGATACAGAATATTGGAGGTGCAAGAAATGGTAGTCTGTAGACACAATTTCTATTTGAGCTCAGGGAACTAATCCATTAATTTTACCAATTAACTCCTTGAAAACCTGATGTAATTTGCTTTATTCATAACCTAATGCCTCCTCCCACCTTCATTTGTTTCATCAGCTCAAACATCTGCTCTGGTGGAAGACTGGCAACTGCTTTGCTAATGGACTCAGGGGCATCCTCAGGACTGATGGTCTCTCCATAAGGTGACTCAATGACAGGGGCACCAGTGCCAAGGCCTAATCGGGAAGAAAGTACAAGAAAGTTAGGGAGGCAAAATAAAAAGCTAAATTGTTTCAAGTATCTACTTTCCAGGGCTGCTGCAAGAACCAGCTGATAACAATTCTCTGGAGCTGAGAAATAAATAAATTACAAGTCTCTTGTTTCTGTGAAGGAAAAGGAAAGTATATTTTCTGTTCTCAGAGGAAGGCTGGGACAATTAGAGAACAGTCATATTTTCTTTTGAAAAGCCATTTTAGAAGCAAAAGGTTTAAATAGAAAAATATGCTAATTTCAAAATTCCTGGATCTGTAACCTTATGAAAAAAGCCATAAAAATGTCTTTAGTACCCCTACCAGTTACACATCTGGCAACATAGTCAGAGGTGCGACAATGACATAGCTAGTACTAACTACTAATGACTTGGTGAATCTGAATTCATCTTTTAACAAGAAATCAACTCCTTGGCAACTGAAGAACTTCTAAAGTCAACTTTACCTGTTTCTCAAAGATATATACTTCCCTAACTCAGGCACCTCAGGTTGATTAAGTAAAGAAGCTGTGTGAATACCAATTCTAGCATATTCAAAATACATCATAAATGGAAAAATTTTCATCATTACATATTTACTAATTCATTCTGCATACAACTTGGGATTATACTCACTCTTCAGCTCTTCTTTGTTCTTTTCACTGGCAGCATTGTCCACTCGAAGTGCTCTCCCACTGAATTCGCGCCCATTCAGGTTCCGCATGGCACTAAGGGCTGTCTCTTGGTCTTGGTATTCACAGAAGCCATAACCCTTTGGCTTTCCTGTCTCTCTGTCATATACCAATCTAGAGAGCAGAACCAAGTAGTGGGCACAAATGTTACACATGTACAGGGTTCCTGTTGACATTGCCATGCTCTTATTTGACACACTGTAAGATAAGTAACCTTACAACTCTGATGGCCTCACTGAAATATTTTTAAAAACACTTGTAATGAAAAAAAACATATCTTTTAGGTAAGAATGAATGTGAATTGGATGGTATGTGAATTATATCTCAAAAAAGCTGTTATAGGCCAGGGGCGGTGGCTCACACCTGTAATCCTAGCACTCTGGGAGGCCAAGGCGGTAGGATCGCTCAATGTCAGGAGTTCGAGACCAGTCTGAGAAATAGCGAGACCCCGTCTCTACTAAAAATAGAAATAAATTAATTGGTCAACTAAAAATGTATAGTCCCAGCTACTTGGGAGGCTGATGCAGAAGGATTGCTTGAGCCCAGGAGTTTGAGGTTGCTGTGAGCTAGGCTGTCGCCAGTGGCACTCTAGCCCAGGCAATAAAGTGAGACTCTGTCTTAAAAAAAAAAAAAAAAAAAGCTGTTACAGAGGTGGGAGGATTGCTTGAGGCCAGGAGTTCAAGATCAGGCTGGGCGACACAGCAAGAGTCCATCCCAAAAAATATTTTTAAAAATTAGCTGAGTGCAGTGGCATGGGCCACTGGGTGATATAGTGAGACTTGATTCAAAAAACAAAAAGCAGTTACAAAAATAAAATGCATGTGAAAAGTCACCAGGTAAAAATACCTGCCATTATTACTAAGAGCCAAGTTTGTGGTGATTTTTAAGAAGCTCCTACCAAGAAGTAAAAGGAGATCTCACCTGAAACTAACAACAGGTCCAACCTCAGAAAAAATGTCCTTCAACTGCTCTTCAGTAGCTTCATAAGGAATGTTCCCCACTAAGGAAGAAAACAAGTAACATATTAAAATTCTGAGTTTGTAACCTAGATCTTTAGTGAGGAAGTAAACGGTATTAATACCTATTTATATCATTAAATATATAACAACTGGCTCAAAATTGTGTTCTCCCAATTTCAATTCCACTGTATTTCTTTAGACCACTTAACTATACCACTGAGACTAAATACAAAAGGGATAGATACTCCTAAACATTAGTTCTCAGACTGATCTGAAAAGTGTCAGATTTTCCTTAACTTTAGTGAAAATAAACACTTAGGCATTGCTATTTACCTGAAGGTCTGAAAATCTTATCAATGACTACCAAAAATGTCAATGTTATAATTTTTAAAACAGGTTCATACGCTCGTCTTTCCACACATACACTTAAAGGGAGAATGATCATTGAGAGCAAAAATTATCCGGAACTGCTTTGTCATATCCCTTTCAAAAGTGCGTTAAAATAACCACACGTACTTTAAAAAAAAAACAACGTATTTCAGCCAAAAAGATTACTCAGAATAGTTTAGCTTGTCTTTAATTAAAATTCTTCCGACAAGGTCTTAATTATTCATTCATTCATTCATTTACAATCCACCTCAAGACACCAAATGGCTGCTACCACTATCGATGAACTAAAATGTTACAGGTAAAAAGCAAAAAATGAAAGTCTTCAGGAGAGGGCGGGAAGTGGACACAAGACACTATACCTTCGTATATAATCTGTATTGCGGGATGGGGGGGTGAGAATAGTACGGAACACTGAAGGACTACTGCCATGCGCCTTCTCTTCTAGATAATTAAAGTTTATGGAGAAAAGCATATAAGCTGGATGCTAGTCTAACATCCTCAACGATACTGCGGAAAGCCGACAAGACCTCTGAGGAAAGAGGGCATCTTTTTGCCCACGAGTCCACCAGGTTAGCCACCCTGCAGCATAGGCAGGGAAGAGCTGCATGCGCGACCCATCACTGGCTCCCGTGGCGATTCATGAGGTTGGAAGTACAGAGGGGCGTTCCCCGCCACTCCCTGCCTCTTTCTGTCCCTCCCAGATGCTTGGCTCCAACGAACACCTCTCACCGAACACAGAACGTAGAGAACGATCCACCGCAGGGTCTCTCACAGTCAAACCCGCCATAGCTCTCTTTCAGTGGCTTCCGGTGCGCCAAAGCACACTTCCGTACGGCGCACAAGCCCACAGCAGAACACGCTTTCGTACGGCGTGTTAACCGGAAAAGCCTGGGCGGGGCAGACGCGAGGCCCCTCCTCCGGCGTCATTGCTTCCAGCCGCCGGCGCGCCTTTCGTCCATACGAAGACTAACCCCTCCTCTGGGTGGAGCTACAGCCTGAGAATAATTCCGCTGTGAACCAGATACAGGCGGGGCCGGGCTGATTGGAAAGCTTTTAGTCTGCAGACTTCCTTTTTCTGCTTTAGGCTGACGCAAGTACTCGTCAACCACAATAAAGATGGCAGCAACGGCTTTACCTTGGTAACAAGGGAGTCACTTGATAACAACTGCGGCACTTTTCATTTTAGTTCCGCCCTATTAGGGGAGGGAAGTGCTTGGGCCCGCCCCGGCAGCGTGCATATAATTAAGTTGCTAAAGTCGAGAGAGTGTGGAGATGATGGAATAAGAGTCGTGCCAGCCGGTAGAGTGTGAGAATGAGCGGCGCTCTCCGTCTAAGCACCAGCGTAGCTGGGGAAATGGGGGAGAAAAAGGGAGAGCAGACCCCCATCTGCTCTCGGGTAGCCTTTGGGCTCCGTATGCTAGTGGTGAGGTGGTGCGGCGGGGGACACTGGCAGGCAGAGTGTCGGAAACAGCAGAAAACATCATTGACCGGTGAGTCCACACTCTGGTGCCTGGGCCCTTGGGATATGGTGTGCAGGACTAGTCGTTGCTACTTTCTGGAAACACAGCCCTTACCTGGATTGAAGGAAACCCAGAGGGCACCTATAGAGAATAGGATTAGGGGATGAAAAATGGTAGGAGCCAAGAGGTCTACCAGGGACTTGTCCGAAAAAGGGAGACAGATAGTCAAATAGCCACAGAATTTGAGGCACTGACGTTTTTATTATACATGTATTAGAAGTGTATATGAAATATGAGAAATATGTAGAAAAAATAAGTGCTACTTTATGCCGTGGAACATATCACTTCAAGAAGTAATTCTATCTGAAGGATACATCTCAGAGAGAAAAATAAATAAATAAAAGAAGAATTAATTCTAGTAAAGATAGTTTCGGAAGAGTATTCCTACTTCCAGGACTCTGGAGTTCTATTTGCAATCACTGTGTGACCAAGAGAACATCTTGTATAATAGAGTAGTCCAAATCGAGACTTACAGCTCCATAAAAAATACGGTTTCAAATTTGGTGTGTGTCACTGTTGCAGTGTGGTGAACCTTTGCTTAAATGCATGTATGGCTGAATATATTTCTAACCTAGTGTTTTCCAAACTTAAATGACAAAAGATTCACCTGGAGTACTTAAGTAAGGGTATAGATTCCTGGGGCGCCACCCCAGGCATATCGAATGTGATTCCAGACAGAGAACTTGGGAGTCATTATTTTTAAACAAGTGCCCCTGATGATTCTTAGAGTCATACAACTTGGGTAGCATGGTAGTTATTGAGGTAGCTTTATGGCAACATTTAGGACAACTGCACTTTCTTATGAAATTTCCCTTAAAGCAGTTCTCAAAGTTCTCAACCCAGAACCACTCCTTGTGCGGGAATATGTTTGGAAATGTACAGGAGAATTTTCGGTTTTTGCAATGACTGGTGCTGAGGAGAGCCAGAGATGATTAAGTACAGACATGGCAGTCCTACACAATGAACCCCTCCCACATTGAATGCCAATAATGTCTCTCCCCTTGAGACATTGTTAATATCAGCCATATTAGACCAATTGGACCCTGAATCTGAAGTCCATGTTGCATCGCTAACCTTGCACAAATAATTTGTGCTTTAGCCTTTTCACAACTATGGCTGATCCCAATGAATTAGTAATAATTAAAGCTAACATTTATTGAGCATTTGCTCTATCCTCGTTGTATTTGTTTTCTTTTTTTTTATTATTTTTCAACAAGAAAGTCTGGCAGATTTTTTTTTTTTTTTGAGACAGAATCTCACTCTGTTGCCCAGGCTAGAGTACCGTGGCATCAGCCTAGCTCACAGCAACCTCAAACTCCTGGGCTCAAGTGATCCTTCTGTCTCAGCCTCCCAAGTAGCTGGGACTACAGGCATGCGCCACCATGCTGGGCTAATTTTTTCTATATATTTTTAGTTAGCCAATTAATTTCTTTCTATTTTTAGTAGAGATGGGGTCTCGCTCTTGTTCAGGCTGGTCTAGGACTCCTGACCTTGGGTGATCCTCCTGCCTTGGCCTCCCAGAGAGCTAGGATTACAGGCATGAGCCACCACACCCAGCCTTGTATTTGTTTTCTACTGTTGTATAAGAGATTTCCATAAACTTAATGGCTTATAACAACACTCATTTATTAGCTCACAGATTTGTAGGTCAGAAGTCTGAGTGGACTTTATTGAGTTCTCTGCTTAGGATCTCACAAGGCTGAAATCAAGGTACTGAGCTCTTATCTGGAGTCTCTAGGGAAGAATCAGATTCCAAGCTCATTTTTCTTGGCAGAATTTAGTTCTTTGTTGTCCTAGGACTGAAGTTCTTATTTCCTTGCTGGCTGTTGGCTGGGGCCTGTCAATCTTTGCTCCTAGAGGATTCTTTCTGGTCTTTACATGTGGGCTTCTAATCTCAGAGCTAGTGATGGGACATTGAAACCTTCTTTTGCTCTGAATCTCTGACTTCCTCTTCTTTGACCAGCTGGGGAGAACTTTGCTTTTAAAGGACTCTTGTATTTGGGCCAGGCCCCCCCAGATAATCTCTCTATATTAAGGTCAACTGTGCTATGTAACATAACCTAATCATGAGAATAAAATATATCATAATCACTGTCCTGGGAATTACACAGGGCAGATACATCAAGGGGATCAGAAAATCTTGGGGCCATTTTGGACTTCTGCCTGTCACACCTGTTTTATAGATACAAATGTCGAAGGAACTTAACTTACCATGTTTCCCTGAAAATAAGACCTACCCATAAAATAAGCCCTAGCAGGTTTTCTAAGCATTTGCGCAATATAAGCCCTACCCCAAAAATAAGACCTAGTGATGGGCATGGCTACGCAGTGCATCTGTACAACCCATGCATTTCGTTGCCGAGTGGTAAAGGAGATGAGCAACCCTTCTAATCTGCCCCATGAGAGCTGTATTGCTCGACATGAGAGATTGGGGCCAATGGTTCTAAAGGAAATAGAGTCACAAGAAATTCAGGATGGAATTTGGGGTTTGGAGAGTTACGATGTTATGATGTTCCAGAAAAAGATGACTTAACTATATTTGAATAAATGTAGATTGTTGTACCGTACTTAAAAAAAAATAACACATCCCCTGAAATAAGCCCTAGGGTGTCTTCTTGAGGAAAAATAAACATAAGACCCTGTCTTATTTTTGGGGAAACATGGTAGCCCCCTAGGTCCCACAATAAGCAGCCAAGACATGGTTTGAACTTAGGTTGCTCTGCCTCCAGAGACTGCTTGACTACTATATCTCCGGCCTCTCAGTACAACAGAGGAAATGGCTCAACATACTTTATTGCCATTTTTGAGAAAGAGTGTAGAGCACATGACTTGGTGATGGTGGGTCAGTGGCTCCTAATATTGAGCCATTCAAGAAAAGATTGAGGCACTTAGCAGGGGCTTGTTCTGCTATCATCAACCATCTGTGGAAAATGGACTATTGGTTCTATCACTTCAGCAACTGCCCTCACTCTACTGGCTATAAAATAGGAGGTGTGTGTATGGGATATATCCTAAGCCCTTGCTTTTTTTTTATCTTTAGGTTTCACTTATGTACCAGTGACCCCTCCTTCAGTTCCTGTCTGTGAGAGTCTTTCCCTTCATTGTGACACTCCCTGAACGACATTTATTTTGCCTCCAGTTTATATCAAAGTGAAGATACAAGGTAGAATGTCTCTTGCTGTTGTAGGTGTTATGACTGAGCCTCAATTAACACAATCACATAGGTAAGGTATGACGAGGTAGAGGGAACATAAGAAAAGAAGCATTTCTGTGTAAAAGGGACTAAATATATAGGATATATGTTACTTGGAGTTTTGAACAGCAGAGAAAGTGTACCTAGTGGAATATCAAAGAGTTTGGAAAACCATAGTCAAGATTTGTGGGGTCTTTTCAGAAACTTATGTGGAAAAGTCTTGAGTTCTTATCCAATCTTGTCCATAACACTAACAATCTTGGATGAGGTATGCATAAGTGAAGCAAGCAAAGACATTTCAAGACTGTGAGGGCACAAAGATGTGAGTTCTTTCTCCTGGTCATAGAAGGTCAAATTTCCAAGGCTAGAGTAGATAAGTACTACTTCATGTCTGATCCATGTTTAGAGTTCCTCAGAGAGTCATGGTATGAAATTCCTCAGTGGTCCTGCAGGGAATATCTGAAAAGGCAGCAACTCCTGGATAAATATCTTTACATGAAAAAGGTGCCAGATGACATTGGTAGCATTACCTGTGTTAGGAGAAATCTTCAACGAGCAGCACCTGCAAGGGCTAAGTAAACTTGTAGCCCTCAGAGAGCACTGAATGCTGACACAGGTCCTGATCAGTATCTGGATGAAGGTATCAGTTGGCTTGCTTTCCAGAAAGAAATACCATTCCTAAGTTCTGCCCTACTGTATAATCAGACTGGTTGTATAGCAACATCTATACTTTTTAGGAATATTTGAGAGTTTAGTCCTGAAACTACTCAACAAAGAGTTGTCCAATCCATCAAAACTGATCATTCAAGTCTTTAAATTTTAGCATTTTCAATTTTTATTTCTTAGCTAACTAATTTTGTTCTCAGTGCACACTGTATATATTTTTTGTATTCCTTTCCCAGAATCCTATTCCTTCAAAGAAGATTCAGGGTTGTTTACCTGCTCAAAGTCTGCATTATGAGATGTGGTATGAGATTTTTGAATTTGTAAATTCATACTTTTCCTCAAATTTGGAAAGTTTTTGGCCATTATTTCTTTAAATAATTCTTCTGCCCCCCTGTTTTGGTCTCTTCACCTTTTGAAACTTCCATGATTTGTGTATCAGTCAGTTTGATGGTGTCTCGTAAGTCTCTTAGTATCCATCTACTTTTCTTTTTTTTTTTTTAATGATATGATTTTCTTTTCTTTCTTTTTCTTTTCTTTTTCTTTTTTCTTTTTTTTTGAGACAGAGTCTCACTCTGTTGCCCATGCTAGAGTGCCGTGGCATCAGCCTAGCTCACAGCAACCTCAAACTCCTGGGCTCAAGTGATCCTCCTGCCTCAGCCTTCCAAGTAGCCGAGACTACAGGCATGCACCACCATGCCCAGCTAATTTTTTTTCTATATATATTTAGTTGGCAAATTAATTTGTTTCCATTTTTAGTAGAGACAGGGTCTCGCTCTTTCTCAGGCTGGTTTTGAACTCCTGACCTTGAGCGATCCTCCCGCCTTGGCCTTCCAGAGTGCTAGGATTACAGGTGTGAGCCACTATGCCCGGCCTACTTTTCTTAATCTTTTTTCGTTTTTGCTCCTCAGACTCAATCATTTCAAAGGACCTGTCTTCAAGTTCACTGATTCTTTCTTCTTTCTGTTTGAATCTACTATTGAACCCCTCTAGTGAATTTCTCAATTCAGTTATTATATTTTCAGCTCCAAAATTTCTTTTTTTTTATAGCAGAATGCTATTTATTTTGAGCATCTGGGTGCAGATGGGTGGAGTCCAAAAAAGGCATCCACAGCTCCAAAATTTCTGTTTGGTTTCTTTTTATAATTTCTCTTTGTTTTTGTTTTAATTTTTTTTTTTTTGAGACAAAGTCTTGCTTTGTTGCTCAGGCTAGAGTGAGTGCCGTGGCGTCGGCCTAGTTCACGGTAACCTCAAACTCCTGGGCTCAAGTGATCCTTCTGCCTCAGCCTCCCGAGTAGCTGGGACTACAGGCATGCACCACCATGCCTGGCTAATTTTTTCTATATATATTAGTTGGCCAATTAATTTCTTTCTATTTATAGTAGAGACAGGGTCTCGCTCTTGCTCAGGCTGGTTTCGAACTCCTGACCTCGAGCAATCTGCCCGCCTCGGCCTCCCAGAATGCTAGGATTACAGGTGTGAGCCACCGTGCCCGGCATTCTCTTTGTTAATATTCTTTTTGTTTGTATATTGTTTTCCTGATTTCTTTTAGTTCTTTGAGTTTTCCTTTAGCTCTTTGAACATACTTAAGACAGTTTTAGTCTTTGTCTAGAACAGGGGTCCTCAAACTTTTAAAACAGGGGGCAAGTTCACTGTCCCTCAGACTGTTGGAGGGCCAGACTATAGTTTAAAAAACTATGTATAAATTCCTATGCACACTGTACATATCTTATTTTGAAGTAAAAACAAATGGGCAAAAACACCTGCATGAGGATGCCTGGTCTAGAACTTCTGATGCTTGCATTTCTTCAGGGACAGTTTCTTGACATTCTGTTTTCTTCCTTTTTTTTTTTTTTTTGAGACAGAGTCTCACTCTGTTGCCTGGGCTACAGTGCTGTCGCGTCAGCTTAACTCACAGCAACCTCAAACTCTGGGCTCAAGCGATCCTCCTGCCTCAGCCTCCCCAATAGCTGGGACTACAGGTATGTGCCACCATGCCTGGCTAATTTTTTAATATATATATTTATATATTTTTTAGTTGTCCAGCTAATTTCTGTTTGTTTTTTTTTTTAGTAGAGATGGGGTCTCACTCTTGTGCAGTCTGGTCTCGAACGCCTGAGCTCAAATGGTCTGCCCGCCTCGGCCTCCCAGAGTGCTAGGATTACAGGCATGAGCCACCGTGCCCGGCCTATTTTCTTCCTTTTAATGGGCCATAGTTTCCTCTTTCTTTGTGTGTTTTTGTTATTGGCCTCTGAGTGGAGGTTTCTCCAAGTTCTTGGTGTTTGTTGGGAAAAGAATTTCATGACACACCACGGAAGCCAAGCAAGTGAAAACTTTTATTGAAAGCAAAGGTATTCTGTTGTTGCAAAAGTAATTGTGATTTTAGCATTGTCGAAATTTGCCATGTGATATTAGAATACATTCATAAATGTGGTTATGTTATACATCATTTTAATGCACATTTCTCACTTTATTTTTTTGGTAATTACTTATTACTTGCTGTTTATATTTATTTTAGACTATGGAAATGATGTTAGACAAAAAGCAAATTTGAGTGATTTTCTTATTGGAGTTCAAAATGGGTCGTAAAGCAGCGGAGACAATTTGCAACATCAACAACGCATTTGGCCCAGGAATTGCTAATGAACGTACAGTGCAGTGGTAGTTCAAGAAGTTTTGTAAAGGAGATGATAGCCTTGAAGATGAGGAGTGTAGTGGCCAGCCATTGGAAGTTGACAAGGGCGAATTGAGAGCCATCACTGAAGCTGATCCTCTTATGACTACACAAGAAGTTGCAGAAGAACTCAACGTCAACCATTCTATGGTCGTTCGGCATTTGAAGCAAATTGGAAAGGCAAAAAAGCTTAATAAGTGGATGCCTCATTAGCTGACCAAAAAAAAAAAAATTGTCGTTTTGCAGTGTCGTTTTCTTGCATGCAACAAGAACGAACCATTTCTCTGTCAGATTGTGACATGTGACGAAAAGTGGATTTTCTCCAACAACCGACAATGATCAGTTCAGTGGTAGGACCAAAAAGAAGCTCCAAAGCACTTCCCAAAGCCAAACTTGCACCATGAAAAGGTTATGGTCACAGTTTGGTGGTCTGCTGCTGGTCTGATCCTCTATAGCTTTCTGAATTCTGGCAAAACCATTACATCTGAGAAGTATGCTCAGCAAATCTATGAGATGTACTAAAAACTGCAATGCCAGTAGCCACCATTGGCCAACAGAAAGGGCCCAATTCTTGTCCACGACAACTCCCCACCACACATCACACAACCAATGTTTCAAAAGTTGAACGAATTGGCCTACAAAGTTTTGCCTCATCCGCCATATCCACCTGACCTCTCGCCAACCGACTGCCACTTCTTCAAGCATCTCAACAACTTTTTGCAAGGAAAACGCTTCCACAACCAGCAGGATGCAGAAAATGCTTTCCAAGCGTTTGTGGAATCCCAAAGCATGGATTTTTTTGCTACAGGAGTAAACAAACTTATTTCTCATTGGCAAAAATGTGTTGATTGTAATGGTTCCTATTTTGATTAATAAAGATGTGTTTGAACCTAGTTATAATGATTTAAAATTCATGGTCTGAAACCGTGATTACTTTTGTGCCAACCTAATACACTCTCAAGGAGGAGAGCAGGCAGGCTGGAAAAAGAGTAGCTGCCTGGAGAGTAAATTGTTTTAGATCTTTTGTAGTCTTACTAATTGAGGGGAGGAATAAGGCCAAGGGGTTGGCTTTTACTAAGAATTTGGGTAGTAATTCTTAGAATTGGGTTCCTTCCCATTTTCATCCTTTATATGGTTGTTTTGGAACTGTTTTAGTGATTTCAAAGGTGGGGAAATTTTAAAACCACAATGTAAATGATATTATTATTAGTCAAAGTTCATGTAAGGTGACAGAGATAGCTGACAAGCCAGTCACAGCCGGTTCTTGCCTGTGGTTATCAGCCCCTCTAGTTAGCTTCTGCTTAAGATTTACTTATTTTAACACCTGCACCTGATTGTCAAGCCCCTGCATCCGGTCTCAGTCCTGTCTCTTAGTTTCCTGCTTTAAAAGTTTGTGGTTTTGGGTTCAAAGTTGTCCATTTGAGAAAATAGCCATTTTTACCAGCCTTTGCAGATGGGTTCTGTGCCAGGGAAGATCTCCACTAATTAGTATGATATGCTCGGGGCCTTGGGGTCAGTCACATGTGGGCTTAAGGTCTTCTTAGGCCTTTTCTGGGCATGCGTCTTGCCTTGGCCTGGTATGTGCTTTTTTTCAATTCCTGTGAATACAGAACTATTTTTAAGTGTCTGAATTTCCCAAAAAGTCTCACTCCTGCTTCTTGTGTGGGCCTTAAATATTCTATTTTATTCTTTTACCTCTAAGGTTTTGTCCTAGGTATCTGTGAGTCTGTAGTCCCCCTGCAGTGTTCATGAACAGTGCCTACCATTTCCTGTGGCTTTCCCTAGCCTGAGATCCAAGCTATGCTACTTTTCCCTGTTTGAGCTCTGAGTTAGACAAAACAGATACTGGTACCCCAGGGGGCCCCTAGACAAGTTAGAATATTGCAAATAAATTCCATTCTCCTCTCTCCAGGGTTCCAGGGAAGGAACTGGCAGCTGGGCTGCTGCTTCTGCCAGGTGTGCAAGGAGGGAAGGAGCGTTAGAGTACAGGCAAATAAAAATGTCACAAAATTCCCTACTATTTTGACTGTGGCTTTTTCTCGATTTGGTGTTTGGTTGCCGTAGACTTTTAACTGTTTTCCAGATTTATGAAATTATTTTAGCCAGTCTCTAATTTTTTTTTTAATATTTCTATGGGGGAAGGAGGGCCTTGAGCTTCCTAGTCTGCCATCTTGTAGATTCCACTCAACAAAAAAATCCCTCTTTTTTTGAACTCCTGACCTCGAGCAATCCGCCTGCCTCGGCCTCCTAGAGAGCTAGGATTACAGGCGTGAGCCACCGCGTCCGGCCAAAATCCCTCTTTTTTAAAAACAGTGATACCAAAGCTCAGATAGTGATTTGTACAAGGTTATACAGTTAATAAGGAGTATAGATGAAATTTGATTCCATCTTTTCTTTTTCCAGGTTTTATGATTTTTTAAAAGAAATTTTGTAATTTAAAATAATTATATGTCCACCAAAAAGTTGCAAAGATAGCACAGAGAGTTCCCATATCTGTCTACTCTCCTCCCCCAGCCCTGCACATCGTTATCCCTTTTATTAACAGATTAGTATGGTACATTTGTTATAATTAATGAACCAATGTTGATACATTATTATTATTTTTTCATTTTGGGCATATTATGGGCGTACAGGTTTAAGGTTTCAATAAATGCCCATTTCCCTGCCTCCAAAAGTTCTGCAGTCTCCATCATGACCATCCCCTAGATGGTGCACATCTCACTCATTAGTATGTATATACCCGCCCCCCCCCCTCCCACCTGCCCAATACCCTATTACTGTAGTACTATGTGTCCACTTAGGTGCTACTCAGTTAATACCAGTTTGCTGGAGAATATATCTGGTGCTTGTTTTTCCATTCTTGGGATACTTCACTTAGTAGTATGGGTTCCAGCTCTAACCAGGAAAATATAAGATGTGCTATATCACCATTGGATACATTATTATTAATATTAACTGAAGTCCATAGTTTATTCAGATTTCCTTAGTTTTTACATATTGTCTTTTTTTTTTTTTGTGTGTGTGTGTTTTTTTTGAGACAGAGTCTCGCTTTGTTGCCCAGGCTAGAGTGAGTGCCATGGCGTCAGCCTAGCTCACAGCAACCTCAAACTCCTGGCTCAAGCAATCCTCTGCCTCAGCTTCCCCAAGTAGCTGGGACTACAGGCACGCCACATGCCCGGTTAATTTTTGTATATATATTAGTTGGCCCAATTATTTCTTCTATTTATAGTAGGAGGACGGGTCTCGCCTTGCTCAGCTGGTTTCAACTCCTGACCTCGAGCAATCTGCCCGCCTCGGCCTCCCAGAGGCTAGGATTACAGGCGTGAGCCACTGCGCCCGGCCCATATTGTCTTTTTCTATTCTAGGATCCAATCTATGACACCACATTACATTTTGTTATCATGTCTCCTGAGGCTCTTCTTGACTGTGACAGTTTCTCAGACTCCTGTGGTTAATGATTTGACAGTATTGGAGGAGTAATGCTCAGGTTTTGTAGACCAGTTCCTCAGTTGGATTTTTTTTTTTTTTTTGAGACAGAGTCTCGCTTGTGCCCAGGCTATTTGAGTGAGCTGCTGGTGGCGTCAGCCTAGCTCACAGCAAACCTCAAACTCCTTGGGCTCAAGCGAATCCGCTGCTCAGCCTCCCGAGTAGCTGGGACTACAGGGCATGCGCCACGTATGCCCAAGCAATGTCTTTCTATATATATTAGTTGGCCAATTAATTTCTTTCTATTTATAGTAGAGATGGGGGTCTCGCTCTTGCTCAGGCTAGTTTCGAACTCCTGACCTCGAGCAATCCGCCCGCCTCGGCCTCTCAGAGTGCTAGGATTACAGGCGTGAGCCACTGCGCTCGGCAGCATTCTAGTCTTAAAAGACTAGATTAGAAATTAGTTCAGTTCCCCATAGGCATTTTTATTTCTTTTACAGTGTAGAAGAATCCACAAAAACCTCTTCCCCAAATTGATTCCCAATATCCAATTCGTGGTTAGGTTGAATCTTTATTTCTATATAATGTAAACAGTAATTTAAGGTAAAATGCAGCTGTGAACATTAAGACTAGTTGTTAGAAAGATTTAACTAGCTTTGAAATTTAAGTTTTAGAACATAAATATTTACAGCTTGATCTGTGGACAATGACTGTCAAAGCCTAGAATTCAACATTCACAAATTCCCATTCATGCACACAAAGCACACCATTATCACACAACTTACTCCTCCTGTCTTGAGAGAATCTTGTTTCTTTAAATCTTTAGTCTCCCAGTCAATTCCAAGTCCAAACAACTTTTAACTCAAACTTCACTCTCATATTTTTAACAAGTTTTCCACCCACACATCATTAAAAATTTTCCTCATCTTTCATATTTTACCAAAATCTGATACCCACCTCAAAGAGATCACTAGATATAAGAAAATGAAATATAAAGTGGTTACTTCAAAATAGGATATAGGAGATCAGAATTCAAGATTCCCTATTGGGATCATACTTTATTCTACTGCAATAAAATAACTGCTACAATAAGAAAAATCCTATGTCGAATTCTTTAATATTCTTTGATGACTAGCCTAACAACCTACAAAAAAGTTTTGGAGCATATACCCTTTTTCATACAAAGTGTCTGAATAAAACACCAGGATTAGCTGTCATTCATTTGAGGCCTCACTTGTAGAAAGAAGCTGTCACAGGGACAGCCAGGATACCCACTAGTTTGTGGAGATCCCCGAAAAAGTATGATTTAAAAAAAAAAAATTCTGGGCCGGGCGCGGTGGCTCATGCCTGTAATCCTAGCACTCTGAGAGGCCGAGGTGGGCAGATTGCTTGAGATCAGGAGTTCGAAACCATCCTGAGCAAGAGCAAGACCCCGTCTCTACTATAAATAGAAAGAAATTAATTGGCCAACTAATAAACATATAGAAAAAATTAGCCGGGCATGTTGGTACATGCCTGTAGTCCCAGCTATTCGGGAGGCTGAGGCAGCAGGATTGCTTGAGCCCAGGAGTTTGAGGTTGCTGTGAGCTAGGCTGATGCCACGGCACTCACTCTAGCCTGGGCAACAAAGCAGGACTCTGTCTCAAAAAAAATCTGGTCTGTACTTAAGTTTCACTAGCCTTTTTCATTGCCTTTATAGGAAGCTGCACCTGGTCTTCTAGTACTCATACTACTTCTCTTATCCTAGGTTTGTCATATAATATCTATGGCTTTGGAATCTCCCAAGTGATATTCTATAAAACTTGAAGGAATAATTATGTCTCCTAATTTCAGGTTTGCAATTTCCAAAGATCACTTACAGATTTTATTCAATTAAGTAGCCATATGGACACCAACCATCTATGAGAAAAGGTTTTCTTCGAAGAAATGATTTAACACTCTACAATTAGGGATTAGCTATAGCAAAACACAATAAAACCAATAACTGATGGTTGGTATTTGAGATAAAAATTTGTACAATATGGAACCTAGTGGTTTTATTGCAAAATCAAAACTGAGAGGTGTGAATTTACTACATCCATTGAAAATAAATAATTTACATGAAATATGGATTCAGGCATAGATCTAATATGTGAAAATCAAAATAAATGGATTGAATCTGCATGTTTCATTTGCTTACATACTTGCACACTATTTTTCTGTAAAAACAATTGCAACAAAGGAAAAAAACTGCTCTTTTGCAAACAAGCCTAAGAGCATCTCTCTAAAGAGTCCAATATAAATATGCATATATATGTATACAGTGTAACTGTTCAACACAAATACTATTTCTAGAAAAAATTTAACTGCACAGGCTAAAAAAACCAACGTGCAACATCTTAAGCATTAAAACACCAAAATAAAAAATAACACAAAAATCACTGTTTTTATGATGATTACTGTATCACAACTTAGGAAGTAAATATCTGAACTTATAGAATGTCCATTGTTGGCAGCATTTCTCTTCAATTTAAATGTCTTCTCATCTCAAAAAAAAATCTTAAAGTGCTAACTTTATATAAAGCAGGCAAAATCTTCAAGTGATTTGCTATTAAGTAAGCCACTTTTTTATAGAGCTAAACAAGGAACTATGGATAAAGTAAATAAACTCACAACTAGTGGACGCGGTGAGCATTGTAGAGGGGAAGGGTATGCCTCTAATCCCCTCTTGGGTGAGGCAAAGTCATAAAATGTAACCAAAATATTTGTACTCTCATAATATCCTGAAATAAAAGAAAAAAAAAAGTAAAAATAAAGTAAAACAGGAAGATAGATATGGAAAAAAAACTGGCAAGTTGTAGCTGGACAAAGAAATAGAATGCTATTATATCATCTTGGCCTTATTTCAGTTAAACACATAAGCTAACAGATTTAGGTATCTGCTTGTTTAGTACAGTAACTCCCTTGGATTTGCTAAAATTTATACAATTAATAGGTGTATATATAAAGTTCTAAGGAAAAGAATGGCACTTGAGTTTTCCAAAAATCAACATTGGAAACTTATTAAAGCAATCTTAAAGGTTGTCTACTACTGTGAATGAATAAAAATGTAATAGACCTTATAAACTAAGAACTGAAACCTCATCCAAAGTTCCATTGCTCCTGCCCTTGAGCTGATTTTTCAAGGAAGTACACATTAACCAAAAGGAAATTGAGGTATTTGCTGAAATCTTTTCCTTTCTGAAAGAATGATCACAGAAGATACAAACAAAATCTCCTTTAGACACTTTGGCTTTCTTTGAATTTTTTCTACTAGTTTCTTGTGGAGCTAGCTGAGCCCCATGCAATCCAGAATTATCACTATCCTGTGATGTGTTGTTGCTTAGATCACTTCATCATGACTGTATATGCCTTCGTCTTCATCAATATCCTGAGACTTACTTACTGCCATGGCAGCAGGAAGTGATGTTAGAGCAGTGTCGGACACTGCTTCACAATATTCTATTGGTGGAGGAAGCAATGGTGAAACTGGTTCTTCCACTGCTGAGTCTTTATCAGGGAGATTCTCTATTGTGTTCTGATCAGTGTCCATTTCTATTTCACAAAGCATAATGTCAGTCTGATATTTACCATCTCTAAAGTTTCATCCTCTGGCATATTCAAGTTTTGTCCAGAGGATGAAACACTGGTTGATGATTTCTTGATATAAGCAGTAACACCAGCTAGGCTATCATTTGCCTCTTCTATTCCTGCCTTTTTTTTTTTTTTTTTTTTTTTTTTTTTTGAGACAGAGTCACTCTGTTGCCCGGGCTAGAGTGCCATGGTGTCAGCCTAGCTCACGGCAACCTCAAACTCCTGGGCTCAAGTGATCCTCCTGCCTCAGCCTCCCAAGTAGCTGGCACTACAGGCATGTGCCACCATGCCTGGCTATGTTCCTGCTTTCTGACGAGGGGCTTCCTTATTTCCTTCACCTTAGGAGAATAGTTTTTGGGTTTTTGATGCCTCTTCTTTTAAGCTTTCCTTTGGCAGTTGTGGCATTAGTGATAAGAAATCCTGTATGCTTGCATCTTCCTTCAGAAGCTGGCTGTCTTTCATAGGCACTAAGGCAACTTTAGTAAGGACTTGCTCCTTCCCTGCCATTTCACTCTGCATGTTAGACTTTTTCTTTTTATCTTTTCTGAAAGGAGACTTTTGGGAATTGGTTCCGCGTGAAGAGGAAGCCTTATGGGAGGACACGACTCCCTCTGAGCAGTCTCCTTCTGAACAACCTCTAAGGGAGGAGGCCCCTTCTGAACAGCTTCCTTCTGAGCAGGCTCCTTCTGAGCAGGCTTGCTGCTGCTTTTACTTGACTTATTTTTTAGAGTTTTCTTCTTTGTGCTTTTTTTCATGTAGTATTTTGCTTTTTATTCTTTACTGTCACCCTTTGACACTTGCTATTTTTGGATTTGCTTTCTACCTTTTTTTTTCTTTTGTCACAGGTTCCTCACAGGATCATGTAAGGAATGGGGCTTCAGCTTTTATCTTCCTTTTGCTTTTCGTGGTTCTACAGAATTTTTTTTTTTAATTTCTTTCTGTATCCACATCCATCTTTTTTGTGTCTGTTGCTAATTTGCAAGTTCTGGTAGTCACTTGGGTCATTGAGACATTACTACAAGACTCTTTCTCCACTTTTACAAACGTCTCATTTTTCTTTCCATTTGCACCCCTACCTGCCTTTATTTTTGTCTTCTCTGTTTTGGTTTTTTCACTGGAAATATTGTTATCAGGCAAGTCAACATCTCACTTTTTGATTTTCTTTAGTTTCACTTTTGAGACAACCATTGCTTTATTAGGACAGGTAGGATGCTTAGATTTGAAATGATACTGTAGGTTACACTTCTTGGAAGCTGCATGGTCACATACGGGGCAACTGCACTGCTGTGGGTTAACATGTAGCTCTACATGTTTTTTGAAGTTACTTCTATTTTCTTTTTTGAAGTCACAGTATGGGCAATTAAGACATTTAGGCCCATTGTGAGCCTGTCTTGCATAATAAGTTATTTCATGTTGATTAGAGGCCACATAACTGCACTGATCACATTTAAATGGCTCCTCGTCTGAAAACTTGGCACTTCCCCTTGAGGCTGCATCAGAAGAACGAGGACAAGTGGTTTGAGGAGAAAAAAAAGAGAGATTTATTAATTTGCCAGTAAAGGAGGAAGGTGGCAGACTGTCATCTCAAAGCACAAAATTCCTCCCCCATAAGCAAAAATACAGAGCTTTTAAGGGAAGGGTTCTCAGGTACAGAATATTTTTCTTCAACTACGTTTAATGGTTCTGATCCTTTCATCTCCAGAATCTGCTGGGACCTCCCGCTGGCCTGGACACCAGCTGGGACCTTCCAGGGACCTTCCAGGACCTCTGCTGGGACCTCTGCTGCCTGGACCTCCACCAGGATAGTTCTACTGAGCCATCTCCTGCAATGCAAAGAACAAAAGACATTCTTCTTCCCCACCCAACCGCTGGACTGAGGCAGGGATCCAGGTTCTAGTTCCCAAAAAGAGTGAGGGAAGTTTCAAAGAGACAGAAAATATTTTTGCCATTTTTTTCTCAGGCCATTCCCTTTGCTACAGAATGAGTACACACATGCTTAGTTAGATGAGTCTTCAAAGAACTTGTGTAAGGACAAAGTTCACATTTATGTGGGTATTCTCCTATATGAATTCTAACATGCTGAACAGAATGTTTGTTTCTATCTGAAAAATAGTTGCATTTTCTACATTTGTATACTTTCCTTGGAAAATGGTTTCTCAAGTATTTCCTCCAGTGACTCTCACTTACTGTTGTATATATACAAATGATGCACTTATAGACTTGCTCATTATCCCCAGCTCTGGTGTGGTGTTTCAGCTGTGCACTGTAGTGATCATATTGATTGGTATTGTAGCCACAGCAGTCACAGTGAACGGGGCCCTTGGAGAAATCTCCCTCTTCTGAGTGGAAGAGCCTGGCTTTTGCTTGCTTCTCAGCACTTTCTTCCACAGAAGAAAGTGCTTCTTGGCACTGTGAACTCTGATGTGATGCACAAACTTCTCTGCAGATTCTGCTTCACATTGGCATGGCTTACAGTGAAAGGGTGCTCCAGGTGTTTGGGGAGGAAGATCTTTACTTGAGCAGCTGCGGCAGCTGATGCCTCAAATACAGGCTGAAGTTCTACAACAGAGTTCCAAACTTCTCGGTTCCGTGTTTTCCAGTCCATTAGGTTCACCTTTTATTTCAGGAAATTCCTCAAGTCCCCCATCACTGTCTGAAAAGTTGTTATCCCCAGCAGGCATCAATTCTGCCATCTATCTTTCTTCCCCAACCAGGTAATCACAGCAGTTGCCATTTGCTTCCCCAATTAAGTCCACATTTGCCAGCACGATAAGCTGAAGTGTGGCCAGTTTGGCTTTGGAGAGGTCATACAAGTCATACATGTTGTTAGGAAACACTATGCCAGTGTTGCCCCTGCCAGTGAACAGCCCTGCTCCTCCGGAAGACTGCCCCATTACCTGGGTTGCCATCATATTCATCATAGCCTGCCCTCCTGACACCCCTGGGCTCACCCTCCATTGCAGGCTGGGGAGGCTCTGTGGGTGCCTTCTCGAGGTTTCTGGCCTAGAGCGCCAGAGGGGGGCCCCCCTGCAGGCCACCCACCACCTCTGTGCCCTGGAAGTTTGCAAACTTCATTCCCCCATGGCGCCCAGCAGGATGCATGCCCCAGCTCTACCAGCTCAGGCAGTGGGGTGGCCTAATTTTCTCTTTTCAAAATATAATAGAAATTCTTTATTATACTAGAAAATTTAATGTCCCTTTGTCAGGTGAGCTCTTTAAAGTGGTTCCTTTAAGAAGACATTGTCTTCCTTTTGATCATGTGATTGTCCTCCTTAGGGCCTTCCTATTTTACTATGGATGAAGTCCAAAATCCTCCTTTTGTCAGAATGCTGTATTATTAATAGATTGCCACAATTTTTATACCTGTGAGCCTTCTCCCATGGATATGTCTGACATGTTCTTTTCTCATAATTTCCTTTACTAGACTATCATCAACTACCTCTTCAAACTTGACCTGGAGTAATTTAAGTAGTGCTAATGCCTCCCTGTCTTTCTCTTGAACACTACTGTTCAATTATTATTCTCTAGATGCTCTTTCTGTGGGGAGTTAGCTATGCTCCCAGCAAAAAATCAGGTCCCTTTGGCAGGGGTCATCACAAGGGATAAGGAAATAATAGAAAATAGAAAATAATAGAATATAGAAATAAAAGAATACACAGAGATGAAAGTACAGTTTTATAAGGTATAGATTTAATAATAGTTGGGGGAATCAGGAGACCTCCAGCATTCCCTTGAGCTGTGAGGCCCCAAGTGAAGTTTCACATCAGTATTTATTGGTACAGTGATCAGTTGCCAGGGGTAACAGATTTACATAATAACAGGTAGTTTGTTTTAGGTTAAAAGTCTCCCAAAAAGTTTCTAGAGATTGCTTAATTAACTTTATCTACCGGGTATGTGAGCAAACGGTTACAAAGTCTTTCTAAGACAAACTTCTAAGTCCTAAGATAAAATTATCACGTAGCAGAAAGGCTAAACAGAAATATAGTGGCGCTATGTTTCTTTATCTGTTTTTGTGGATTGAGACCGGTAGTCAGGAGTGAAGCAAGAACTGTCCCTTAGGCTAATTGCTTTTAGCCGCAGGTAGCTATCTGTGGAGCAGGCACTCTTTGATCAGTTCTCATCCCGTGTCCTCATGCCAAGCTTTGTCATACAAAGCAGGCGAAAGCCTACAGGTTTGAGACAGCATCACCTTGAAAAATGCTGCCACTGACTGGTGAGATGTCCTCTTGAGGTGAGGCAGCTTGTGATATGTGAACTAATATGTTCACATATTCCTTCAGGGCAAAGCCCTGCAAAACTCCTGAAATCATTTCTGTCTCTATATTATAGGGGACATTTCTATAGTGCAGTATTTGTATGGAGCAATATTTCTATGGGACAACATCTGGCCCATGATATGCATATGGTATAAATACCCAAAGTATTCAATATTTTGTTATGATTTAATATATCCTCTAAATATTTATATTAATGTCTTCTCCCTGAAAGGCATATTTATATAAGCACCCTAGTCAAGGTGGTACTAAGTATCTGCTTTTTGATAATGAGGAGAAAGATAAAAGACTCTGTAATATATCTAGAATATGGTCACCTATAAATGTGAATAAGGAGTCTTCTTCCTAACATAATCCTAAGGTGGGTATTAAGGAGGTTGCTATTTCTGAGTCAGAACTTGGAACAATTATTCATGGTAGGCCACATGGGGCCCATAACTCCAAGCAGTGTTTCAACTCTCTGTAGGGATTGACTATTTTACATTGCCATTCCTAGTTCATGCTGGTGAACTTCTTACATGCTTATAATTGGAATCCTCATGCTGTAGCTGCTCTGAGAAAAAAATTAGAGATAAATAGAATAGCAGATTAGAAGTATGTTGTCCAACTTCTACATATTTGGAATTTTCCAGATTTGCTTCTGTTATTCTAGTTTCATTCAATTATGGTCAGAAGGAAATAAACATAATGTGGTATATATACACAATGGAATGCTATGTAGCCATAAAAAAAGAATGAAATCCTGTCATTTGCAGCAACGTGGTTGGAATTGAAGGTCATTGTGTTAAGTGAAATAAGCCAGGCACAGAAAGACAGATATTGCATGTTCTCACTCATGTGGGAGCTAAAAAAGTGGGTCTCATGGAAGTAGATAGTAGAATCATGGTTACCAGAAGCTGGCAAGAGTTGAGGGGGATGAAACGAGGTTGGTTAATGGGTATAAATATACAGTTAGATAGAAGGAATAAGTTCTAATGTTTGATAGCATAGTAGAGTGACTATAGTTAACAATGTATTGTATATTTCAAAATATCTAGAAGAGAAGATTTGAAATATTCCCAACACAAAGAAGTCATAGATGAGGTGATAGATATCTAACTACTCTGATTTCATCATTACACATTGTATGCATGTATCAAAATATCACAGGTACCCCATAAATAGGTATAATTATTATACATCAGCAAA